AGAGAGAGAGAGAGAGAGAGAGAGAGAGAGAGAGAGAGAGAGAGAGAGAGAGAGAGAGAGAGAGAGAGAGAGAGAGAAAGAATTTGCATCGGTCGGTTGCCTCCACCTTTAATGTATCACCTGTTCCATTTGTTTTTCCGAGTGAAGCCGCAACAGGTCAGCTAGTTTGAAATTATTTTACATCTGTTCACTTGTGTTTCATATGCTGGTGGTCCTTCCAAGTGTCATACTGAGGGAGTGACTTTCTCCTCCTCGTGATCTCTGTCGGTCATATCCTCCATGACCTCCTACTGTTTTTCTCTATTCGTCCTCATGGCCCCAATTTTGTCAGTGCCTCTTTTCTTTCCCCTTTCTGCTGTCCTCAGCATCAGCTGTTCCTCTGTTTTTCCTCACCACCATTATCTTCACTGGGTATCTCCTCCGCCGTCTCTCCAGAACTACTGCTGCTGCTGTTCCTCTGTGGCCCCTCTTCTCCCTCCTCTTTGTGCTATGTTTCATCGCCCTTGGCATTGATCCACAGGATTGTGATTGACTGGGGAATTTGACAGGATTTCACGCGTCTCAGCATGTAAGTCCCAGATCGGTCCCGAAGTTCCAAATTCCCATGTACCACAGTACCAAGTACCATCCAGTGTGTCTCGTACGCCCATCCGTAGACTAGTTCATGTAGCCTAGGTAATCTGGTAGGCCCAGTCTCTTATGGGAGTGACGTCATTCCAGTCAGCCGTCATTCTGTCCAGTCCAGTTGCAGCGAAGCCCCAGGAAAGTCGGTCCAAACCCCAGACGCGTGGAAGACCCATTAGGGCTTGCAAAGCACAGGGTACAAGGTCTGGAAAGGTTGAAGATTGAGAACTGCAGCAAATACAGAACTCCAGCGGCGGCAGACCATCAACACGATTGGCATTAACGCCCGTCGCAGAAGCCCTGTTGTGGTCTTATGTGGTCAAACATCAAGTGAGACTGGAGTAGGTAGCCGACGGTGCCCAGCACCATAGTTTAGTAGGGTGAGAGAGAGAGTCATTGAGGCAAGCGGGAGACATTCACACACAAGCACACACACACACACACAGAGAGAGAGAGAGAGAGAGAGAGAGAGAGAGCTG